AGGAATATTTTGAAAGCGTATTTATGAGTGAGGAGACAACGTGTGTACTCAGTGAAGTAGAAACTCCGAAAGAAGAGGAAAGAGGTAGCGAGATAAGTATAGATGAAATAATGAAAGCAATGCAAAGCGTGAAAGCAGGTAGGGCTGCCGGATATGATATAGTTTCACTCGAAATGCTGAGGGCTGGAGAGGAAGTCGTGGCAGGCCTGCTGCACACCTTGTTTAATTTATGCTGGGAACTGATGCGGGTACCGGTAGACTGGTGCAAAGCCGTGATAGTCCCAGTATATAAAGGAAAAGGGTCGCAGCAGGACTGTAAAAACTACCGTGGCATCAGCCTTCTTAGCATTGTGGGAAAACTGTATTCTAAGGTACTAATTGAAAGGGTCATGAAACAAACTGATGGAAAAATTTGGGATGTGCAAGCGGGATTCAGAAAGGGAATGGGATGTACAGATCAAGTCTTTTCCATGCGCGTGATCGCGGAAAAGTTTTTGGCCAAAAACCAAAAGGTTTTTTGTGCGTTTATGGACTTGGAAAAGGCCTATGACAGAGTGGATAGGGATGTGCTATGGCAAACACTGAACTCATTTAGGTTGAGCGCTGGCTTGATACAGGCATTGGAGTCTCTTTATAGGGACTCTAGTGCTTGTGTTAGGATCAACGGGGTCTACTTGGACTGGTTTGACATCCATAAAGGCGTCAGACAGGGCTGTGTGGCTTCCCCGTGGCTGTTCAACCTATTTATAGACAGTTATTTGCAAAATTTGAAAGTTGAAGAATGCGGATTAAGAATGGGTGAGTTAACCGTCAAATGCCTTTTGTACGCCGATGATCAAGTTATCCTTGCGTCGTCGGCGTCCGAGTTGCAAATGATGGTTACATTAATGAACAGATCATTAAAAGAAAGGGGTATGAAAGTGAACGCAAGTAAGACGAAGGTTATGGTTTTTGAAAGAGAATAAAGTAAAACGATTTGTGAAATAAGAATAGAAGGGGAGTTGATCGAGCAAGTAGATGAGTTTATATATTTGGGCTGCGTATTTAGCAGGGATGGGAGATATGATAAGGATATAGAACGACGAGTGAATGCGGGAAATAGAGTAAATGGGGCCCTGCACTCTATTGTGAAGAGTCAAAATGTGTCAAAAAAGGCACGTATGGCAATTCACAATGCTGTGTTGGTCCCTACTTTAACGTATGGTAGTGAAAGTTGGGTGTGGCAGAAGAAGCACGAGAGCAGAATCAACGCAGTAGAAATGCGGTCCTTAAGGAGTATGTTAGGGCTGAATCTGAACGACAGGGTAAGAAATTGTGTAATAAGAGAAGAGTGTGGTTTGCAAGATGATGTTGTGACCAGGATTAAGAAAGGAATGCTTCGGTGGTTTGGTAAAGGGCTTTCGGTGAAGTGAATGGCAGAGTCGGAAAGGGACGTCCTAGGCGAAAATTTATCGACCAAATTGGCGATTTATTGAAAACGGGCCAAATTAGGAGTACCCTTAACCGACGAGCATGTATGCGTAGGTGTATGGATGTGAAGGAGGCGAGAGAGGTGTGTCAGGATCGTGCCAAATGGAAGTCTAGTCTCTGCCTACCCCTCTGGGTGACAGGCGTGAGTGTTTATGTTATGTATGTTATGTATTTATGATCTTTTCTAAAATTTTAGATAAGCTAGATAAGACTGAAATCGGCCTATAGTTACTAACTAAGTTTTTATCACCAGCTTTGTAAATAGGAGAAACCACTGCTTTTTTAAGCACTTTCGGGAAAATACCATTTGAAAGGCATAATTGAAAGATATGTGTTAACGGGGCGGCTAGTAAATGTTTAAATCTTTTGAGTATACGATTAGGTATATTGTCCCATCCAACTGCACAATCTTCTTTTAAGCCAGATATTATACTTAAAATCTCATCAATATCGGTATTTAACAATACAAAAGAAATTAACTTAGAAAAGGATGTGGGCATAAAAAGTGGATTTCGAGTGTAGCTTAATTTTAACGTTGTCTCTGCTATTTTTTTGCCAACATTAATAAAATAATTATTTTCTTTATTAGTTGCTTCGTTTGGGCTTTTGTCTAATGACAGTAGATCAAGTGGGGGTCCAAGATTTTTTTGAACTGAAGGTATTAGTTTTAACGAACTTCCATACAAGTTTACTGTTTTTACCGGCCTTTTGTAAAACATTTTTATCTTATTGTATTTTGAGGTTTTTTAATAGTTTATTGTAAAAATTCCTAAACAAGTATTAAATTATCAGGAGAAAGTTTAGATTTTAAATGAAGTTTATCTCTATTTCTTATACAGCGGACGAGACCAGGTGTTATCCAAGGTTTAATATTATAATACTTACGTGGCAGTTTTATTGTTGATGTATTATTCATTATTGCGTATTGTAAAGAATTTATAAAGTAACTCAAGGACGTATTTGCATCGTCAGAGCAATAAACAAAGTCAAAATTAATGCTACGAATGTCATTTTCGAGGTTCGTCATATGGACTTTAGTGTAGTTGCGTATGCAGCTTTTCCTAGGTAAGGCTAATTGTAATGTTAGTAAGATTGCTTGATGATCAGTAAGCGAGGAATTGGTAACTAATGTTAAAGAAGGTTATTTGATTTAATCACAAAATGGTCTAAACAAGAGCCGCTTTGATGTGTAGGGTGGTAATGTGTTGGTAATAGCCCATGAAAAGAGCAAATATTTAGGTAGACTTTAATTAAATAACATAAATAGACAAATGAAACACATTTAAATCCAAATATTTTTCTTAACATATATATTATATATTCATTACATTGTATATTCATTCATCAAAATTATGAGATTGCTACTAAAAGTATAAAATATATTTACCTGGTCACACATGTATTATTTTTATTATAATAAGGTTTTCCCCGAAATTCTCAAACCATCAAGAATCAAGAGGGACGACTCTATAAATCAAAAAAAAAAAAAATTCTTTTTCTTTCCCCCACAACAAAAAAACCCAACAAGAGACCACCCAAAAAAAAAAAACACACCGGTCCCACAAAACAAAACACCCAACAAAAAATAAATACATACCACAAAGTGTTGTAAAGCACCTGAAATGCCGCGAATTAAAAATAAGTCAATTAAACGCGAGAAAATGCGTGTATATATACACGCATTTTCTCGCGTTTAATTGACTTATAATTAATAGATAATCCCAAATTTATCGATCAATGGGACAGGGTTGGACCTGTCTATGTTTCAGTGCATTCTAAGTTCAACCTTGAAATACCCAATTACAGCGCATTTGACACGTGCCCCGCAACTCTTGCATGCCGCCATGAAAATTAAAATTTAATAAAAATTTTGTAGCAGACAACTGTGTCCTTCGATCACTTATAAATATACGGTATACACTAGCTAAATAACGTCTAACACTAAATTAGTTCGTGCTTCGCGCGCGATGAATAGCATGCTGCTAGATTTAATTTGCGTCACACGTCTACTCCCAACAGCGCTGCTGTTTGAACTAATTGCCGCTTGATATGAATAGCGCCAAAGCGTCATAGCGTCATAGCGCCATGGCGACTACTTACATAGCAGGCGCTATGCGTTATGAAGAGATAGCGCGCTATAATATGGCGCTACGCGCTATATTAACCACCATTAATCAAAACAGAACAAAAATTGAATGATACGGTATTTATTATGAGTAATCTGTGTAAGAAACAGACTGACTCCAGCGGCCGTGGGACACGGTAGGTAGCTCAGTTGGTTAGAGCATCGGCACGGATCGCTTAGGTGGGTTCAAACCCCACTCTGTGTGATTTTTCGAATTTATTAAGAATTACAATTTGGTTGGTCTTTAATATGGCTACGTTAATTCAAGCTCAAAATGTACCTCCTCTGTTAAGTTGTTCTAAGATGTAAAGTAACATTTAATAAATATCAATAGACTAATAGGTAATTGCAAGACTTTCAAGACTTTTACTGGAATACCAAGGCCAAGATCAAGACTGGGAGCGCTATACTATGACCACGACCAGGTGTATTGGCGCAAGACCAAGACCAAGACTAGCTTAGTCTCGTCTTGTTCTTACTCTCTTTATAAATAACGTATAAATCCGTATTCGTATTGTTACGAGCTTGAGGTTCGTGACAATAAAAACTGCCGATTGAATTACCAAAATTTACACTTTAATTTTCTTTACACCAAATAAAACTTAAAACACTAATAATTAATCACACTTATTCACTTTATTTCGCTCCGAAGCTTCGCTTGTCTCGCTAAATTAAATACTGCTCCGACCGCGTCTTGCAGCGCCTTTAAATACACATTTTTCACCGAAACGTCCAGAATATTCAAGTAATTACGCGCGCCAACCGACCAGGCACAGAAAGTTCGAGTGTGGGGCTTCCAGAAAGCTTAATTCTTCCGTTCGTCGCTGTTTGTCGAAAGATTAGTCATGTCATTTTCTGAAAAGCTCTCCCCGCTTTGTTACCCGACACTAGATGGCGCTAGTGCTAGACGTCAACTTAGGTGCGCAACAGTATGTATCTAGCAACGCACGCTGTCGTTCTCTACCTATTTGTGTACCTACCGCAAAAAGCGTAAATAATAATTGTAATATATGAGTATAACTTGCAATCTATATTGAATGAAAATTATTTTATTATATTATTTTATTCTGTTCTATTCTACGTCTGAGAGCCCCAACCTTATAAAATTAAGAAATCATTATTAAACTTCAACAAAACTGAAAATGAACAGTTGTAAAATATCGCTTGTGTAATTATCGCCATCTGTCGTCAGGAAATGCGCGGATTTTAAATTACCGATTTTATAGCGCAACCACACAAACGAGATACTTGGAAATATAAAAACATGGAGAATGATTTTTTTTAGAATAGGGGTAAGAAACGAGCACAAAGTCCACCTGTTGGTAAGTGGATGCTGTGGCCCATAAACATCTACATTTATCCTTAATTAAACATCAAAATGCTGATGCGTTGTCACCCTCAAGGACTAAGACAGGGTGACTCGTTTTAAGTGAAATATCCATACGCTGGGAGCACCGCACTGTTCCTGTACTTCGCATAGATCCGTACCTTGACACCAGCCGCACCCGAATTTCTCGGGTAAAGCCAAACAAGTGCCAGAGTCATCCGCCATGTCGCTACAACGGTATATTAGTATATGTGTGTTATTGGGATTATCTAACGGCTTTGATCCTCCCCATATTACATCAAAAGAGGCGGTTATGTTCGGAGCGCGCGATGTATAGGTAAATTCGACGGGTTCACAATAAATTGTATCGGCGAGAAGCTGAGCATTTACGTGGATTACGCGTCCCTCTATATTAAACTGGCATACGAACCTCGTTTGGACTATAAATTGGCCTATTATATGAACTTTTACTTTTATTGCCTTTTTAACGCCGAATGGGACTAGAATTTCGTTTGTACCGTCGGAAGTAGAATTAATCGTTGGACAAAAACCGGGACCGGAGCGATAGCTAGGGACCATTCTACTGACACCGGTTACAAGAATGTCGTTTCGACAATTTTCGGCCGTGTCATGGGTGCAACGGTTACCGTCTATGCACCAATCGCAAGGAAAAAACGAACTTACGCACTGAGTACAAGAGCTATACGTGTTGCAGTCAAAGGAAGTGAAATTTTTCGTTACAAAATCAGTAACCTGAGTTGTTCGCACGGGCAGTTTAGCTGTGAAGTTATACTGACCATCAGGAATAGATGACAACGTGTCAGTACGCGTAGTTGTATAATTATAGATATCGGACATATTGCGACCTAATGTAATGTTTGTGCGTCCGTCCCACGGGCCTAGTTGCGGTCTAAAAGAATGTATTTCTGGATTGGGACACGACTGAATCCGATTTGACCATACACTTGGGGCACCACACTGTTCTTGTACTTCGCATCGATCCGAACCTTGACACCAGCCGCAACCGAATTTCTCGGGTAAAGCCAAACAAATTCCACAGTCATCCGCCATGTCGCTACATCGATATATGAGTATGTGTGTGTTATTCGGGTTATCTAACGGCTTCGATCCTCCCCATATTACAGCAAAAGAGGCGGTTATGTTCGGAGCGTGCGATGTATAGGTAAATTCGACGGGTTCACAATAAATTGTATCGGCGAGAAGCTGAGCATTTACGTGGGTTACGCATCCCTCGATATTAAACTGGCATACGAACCTCGTTTGGACTATAAATTGGCCTATTATATGAACTTTTACTTTTATTGCCTTTTTAACGCCCGATGGGACTAGAATTTCGTTTGTACCGTCGGAAGTAGAATTAATCGTTGGACAAAAACCGGGACCGGAGCGATAGCTAGGGCCCATTCTACTGACACCGGTTACAAGAATGTCGTTTCGACAATTTTCGGCCGTGTCATGGGTGCAACGGTTACCGTCTATGCACCAATCGCAAGGAAAAAACGAACTTACGCACTGAGTACAAGAGCTATACGTGTTGCAGTCAAAGGAAGTGAAATTTTTCGTTATAAAATCAGTAACCTGAGTTGTTCGCACGGGCAGTTTAGCTGTGAAGTTATACTGACCATCAGGAATAGATGACAACGTGTCAGTACGCGGAGTTGTATAATTATAGATATCGGATATATTGCGACCTAATGTAATGTTTGTGCGTCCGTCCCACGGGCCTAGTTGCGGTCTAAAAGAATGTATTTCTGGATTGGGACACGACTGAATCCGATTTGACCATACACTTGGGGCACCACACTGTTCCTGTACTTCGCATCGATCCGAACCTTGACACCAGCCGCAACCGAATTTCTCGGGTAAAGCCAAACAAATTCCACAGTCATCCGCCATGTCGCTACATCGATATATGAGTATGTGTGTGTTATTCGGGTTATCTAACGGCTTCGATCCTCCCCATATTACAGCAAAAGAGGCGGTTATGTTCGGAGCGTGCGATGTATAGGTAAATTCGACGGGTTCACAATAAATTGTATCGGCGAGAAGCTGAGCATTTACGTGGGTTACGCGTCCCTCGATATTAAACTGGCATACGAACCTCGTTTGGACTATAAATTGGCCTATTATATGAACTTTTACTTTTATTGCCTTTTTAACGCCCGATGGGACTAGAATTTCGTTTGTACCGTCGGAAGTAGAATTAATCGTTGGACAAAAACCGGGACCGGAGCGATAGCTAGGGCCCATTCTACTGACACCGGTTACAAGAATGTCGTTTCGACAATTTTCGGCCGTGTCATGGGTGCAACGGTTACCGTCTATGCACCAATCGCAAGGAAAAAACGAACTTACGCACTGAGTACAAGAGCTATACGTGTTGCAGTCAAAGGAAGTGAAATTTTTCGTTACAAAATCAGTCACCTGAGTTGTTCGCACGGGCAGTTCAGCTGTGAAGTTATACTGACCATCAGGAATAGATGACAACGTGTCAGTACGCGGAGTTGTATAATTATAGATATCGGATATATTGCGACCTAATGTAATGTTTGTGCGTCCGTCCCACGGGCCTAGTTGCGGTCTAAAAGAATGTATTTCTGGATTGGGACACGACTGAATCCGATTTGACCATACACTTGGGGCACCACACTGTTCTTGTACTTCGCATCGATCCGAACCTTGACACCAGCCGCAACCGAATTTCTCGGGTAAAGCCAAACAAATTCCACAGTCATCCGCCATGTCGCTACATCGATATATGAGTATGTGTGTGTTATTCGGGTTATCTAACGGCTTCGATCCTCCCCATATTACAGCAAAAGAGGCGGTTATGTTCGGAGCGTGCGATGTATAGGTAAATTCGACGGGTTCACAATAAATTGTATCGGCGAGAAGCTGAGCATTTATGTGGGTTACGCGTCCCTCGATATTAAACTGGCATACGAACCTCGTTTGGACTATAAATTGGCCTATTATATGAACTTTTACTTTTATTGCCTTTTTTAACGCCGGATGGGACTAGAATTTCGTTTGTACCGTCGGAAGTAGAATTAATCGTTGGACAAAAACCGGGACCGGAGCGATAGCTAGGGCCCATTCTACTGACACCGGTTACGAGAATGTCGTTTCGACAATTTTCCGCCGTGTCATGGGTGCAACGGTGACCGTCTACGCACCAATCACAAGGGAAAAACGAACTTACGCACTGAGTACAAGAGCTATAAGTGTTGCAGTCAAAGAAAGTGAAATTCGTCGCTACAAAATCAGGCCCCTGGGTTGTTCGCACGGACAGTTTAGCTGTGAAATGATGCTGACCAGCAGGAATGGGCGGCAACGAGTCAGTACGCGGCGTTGTACAATTTACACCATACGGTTTCATAGTAGCATTTGTTATAAGAGTACGATCTAAAGCTGTAAATGCACAAAAGAACTGTCCGTTTAGTGTGGGCCAGTTTTCTATATGTAAATCTAGAGTCCTTGCGGTCGTTCGTTGCAATTGATTCGGTGTTACTTGAGTAATAGTTGTGCACCGTCCACTGCGATACGAAATCCAATACAGGGGATCTTTAGCTGCGTCCTGACAATCCGATCGGAGGCTACACTTATTCTCTAAGGAACACCAACCACAGTAAGGGTCTTTGGCGCCTAGGCATGTTAAACAAGATTTGTACACGCTACACTCTTGAACTTTCACTTTGGACACTTTACGCTCAGTCATTACGTATAAATGCATTAATTGAGTATCGAAGAATAAGTCTTTGTTTACTGGGGAGCGCTCATCGACTACGATGTCTCCATACTCGAACGCTGAAGTGGCACTTTCGACGACTATCTTCTTGAGATGTCCCTCTGCTGTGCCTGCGAAGACTACAGTATAGTCTCCGGTCACCGTCGCCACTACCGCTGTCAGTCTCCTTTTAAATATTGCCACAGGTACTGCCTCTACCGGCTGCTTGCCTCCTAAAGGCGTATTAACATCCAACCCGCAGAAATCTTCGCTTATTGATTGTAATTTCGTACCGATACAAGCGTGAGATGGTGAAATAAAGTCCAGGCCACGCGAGCCATTTCCACTGAAGCAGGTCTTAATATTTTGCATGAATTTCCGCCTGATAGCTTTGAGGGAGTAAACACAAAGTGCTGAATAATCGGATGGCGTATTCGTGTTTATTGATTCGCTTTGACTAAAAGCAGCGAATAGAACATCGTGTTGTGCTGTTATTCCGAGTTCAGAAGCAAGCATGGAGCCTGCTTTTCCTACAAAGGCCGCCTGGACAAGATTGTAGCCGAAGTTGCCTCCACCCTCTCCTGTACACGACATCGGTATCTCGGTGTAAGAGTAATAGTTTTCGTCATCATGACATACACGAACCACTTTACTGTAATAGGTATCGGAGCCGACTCCACGCAGCTGAGTCGTCAAAAAATAACTAAAGCCTTCGGAGCTGAAGCCGTATACATAGTTTATAGGGTATTGTTCTCTCATCAAAGAATTAACAAACACTCTAGTGCCTGTTGTGACTGCTGTTCTGGCTATCATGAAGAGTCGATCATCCTCTAAAGAGCGACTGCTCACGGTGGGCACTTCAGAACGATAGGGAGAATTGCCCGTAAAAGTTACACCCACGTACATTACCTGTGTCATGGGTGGATTGGGTGGTCCGGGAGCGATGAAAGCCACTGTTGAAGCGCTAGCGTTATTCGCGACCACTGGTTCGCGGACCTCACGCACATCGTGAGAAATGTTATTCAAATTCCGCACCGAGCATAATCCCTGCAGCACCGAGCCGCACGTTATCAGACGACTGGTGGCGTAATCTATAACAAGCGCCTTGTTCACATTGTCCGCAGGCTTCTTCACGAAGTTCGGTGGGCAGTCGAAGGTGCATAGTGCAGAGTCGTTGACGGGCCCGGTGACGATTGACTGCGCAACCTCTAGATCCGAGGATAGCTGGTAGATCCTGTTGACGGCGCCGATGTACACGCGGCCGGTGATCCGGTCGACGACCAGGTGGTTGAACAATGACATCGGGGCTGCTTGTGGGTCGGAGAAAGACCGCACGACGTCGTGAGAGGTGGTTGCGGCGTTGATGACGGCCGCCAGGGCCAAGAGCAAGCGCCACATCACGCGAGCGCATCGGGCCGCCCGCCGACTGCCGCCGCTCACGTGTTTCTCGCCCACCCATCTGCAACGCGACACACGTCAGTTGCACTGTCACTACCCTTTCCCATCGCACCGCGTCCCTTGCTCACGACGACGTGGACTCGGGTGCACACGACACCATGAGGCTAGCCTGATTGGTTTGCGAAAGACCAGCCTTACTGATCTGATAGCAGTCTAAACTCACTAAAGCCGCGGCGTGCGCTAGGAGAGGCCCAGTGTGATCGGAGGGAGTTCACGAGACGGGACGCACAATCGCCGCCTTCCTATCAGCTGTACTAACCTCTGAGATGTATTAAACTGTACTGCAATATTTAAGATCGTATCGTAGCGCCTAAGCTCGGAAGTTTTTAATCATTGCGATCAAAAATAGGTTAAAACTGGGGAAAAACGGGAACCACCCGACGAAAGCTTTAAAATTAAAATGGGGAGCAACATAAAAATCATACAACTTGGCATGCTGTTCGATAGGAGGGAGCAAACGTGGTAACGAAACGGGAAATAAAAATAATAACTTAGTATTAGAAATAAACTTCACACATTGACGACATCGAATCTATACTTACAGGATAGCCATAACGGAATTAGATCTGACGGGCTTCAAAATGACGGTCTACTTGATCAAACGCGTGTATGGGAGCGTACTTTCATAATGCGAGGACCGCACCGTTGTTTTCTTGTCGAGACCTGTAACAACAAACATTACTTGTTTAATGTCCATCTGAGCTCGATCGATCGATCTTCTTTCATTGCAACGCGATGTACGAGGATGTCACCGTACACGAATGACTTGTGCAGATCTACAGATTAACAAATATTATGCAGTCTGTGAAGATGATTGTTAAGCTAAAGTCGGTAAGAATTACCTTGCACACATCCGCTGAAATGAAATAAAATGGTGTGTGACCTAGTTTGAAGAGCACCTCCAGCCCTCCCTCAATTGCGTGCACTATCCTTGTCACCACTAATCCCAGCACCACTAGTCCCAACAACACCACACTAAGAAAGACACACCATCGGCGACAATATGATACGTGTTCCGCCTACACACGAGACATCCTCAGGTGATGTAGAGTGGTGGCTGGCCGCTAACCGCTAAGTGAGCGACGGGCCAAAACAGCTGCTATTTATACAACTAGCTGACGCAATGCTCCCCACTAAAGTAGCGAGCGACCGCGTCATGCGATGAAACATGCGACTCATCACTATCTAAAGTACGCAGCCGCTTGCTGTAAAATAATAAACAACAAACCGCTGCGAAACGCCCACCTACCCTCCAATAACACAACCAATCGCAGATCAATGTGAGGGTGATAAACGACAATATTGCGAGGCTGCCTGTTATCAGAGATCAGGTTTAAATATGTTTAATAGAGCTGAGTTATAAAAATTTGTTTGTTCATTCATCAGTACAATCGTTACTATTGAAGTGAAAACTTCTTTAGCATCGTTGTGATTTCAAAGTGTATGAAACGCAAAAGCTACATTAAAAAGAGATACAAAATAATTCATAAGATTTAACGTGGGAGAAAATGAGATAGGATGCATTATAGCTCAATGCTCACGGGAAAAAAGTGCGACCGCTCAGACCAGTCCAATTACAGGCCTATCGCCATCACCTCCTTGTTCTCCAAAATAATGGAATCCATTATAAGCGGCCAGCTTATGTGGTACCTTAAGGATAACCAGCTGATTAGTGACCACCAATACGGTTTTCGTCGTGGTCGATCAGCTGGTGATCTTCTAGTCTACCTGACTTATCGATGGGCGGAGGCAGTATAGTCCAAGGGGGAGGCATTGGCCGTTAGTTTGGACATTGCGAAGGCCTTCGATCGGCACAAAGCGCTTCTCTCGAAGCTCCATTCCTATGGGCTTTCCAAGAAATTGAGCAATTTGATCACCAGATTTCTTGCAGATCGGAGCATCAAGATCGTTGTAGACGGTGCATGCTCCGATTATAAGCCTATTAATGCTGGCGTTCCACAAGACTGTTTCGGATGTGTTGCCAACCGGTAACATTAATTACTATACGGATAACACCACTGGTGATGTTAAGTTCACCAGCCGTGAAAAATTTTGGGGAAAACGTCTCTGAGTACCGGGACAAACTTGTGTCTGAAAGTCAGCCAAATCGGCCTCTAAAAAGCTTGGCGTGCTCAGCAGAGCGGGATAGTATTTCATGCCGGCACACCGTCTGCAACTTTACAAGGCGCAGGTCGGGCCGCACATGCAATATTGTTCCCATCTCTGGGCTGGGGTTCCCCAGTGCCAGCTCCTTTCACTTGACCGCATCCAGCGCAGAGCGGCTCGAATCGTCGACGACCGAGTGCTTTCCGATGGGCTCGATTCACTGGCAATGCGAAGAGGTGTTGCATCTCTTTGCGTATTTTATTGCATCTATCACGGGGAGTGCTCTGAGGAATTGTTCGGATTAATCCCAGCCGCCAAATTTCATGAACGTACTACGCGGCAAACCTCCCGATACCATCCACACCATCTGGATGCTTGGCCGTCCAGCACTGTACGTTTCACCAGGAGTTTCATTCCGTGTACGAACTCTCCGTGGAATGGTGTACCACCGGCAATTTTTCCGGACTGATACGACCTAGGGACCTTCAATAAAAGAGCTAACTCCTTTCTAAATGGCCCGCAACGCACCTGCGATTTCCCTGGTGTTGCAGTTGTTCATGGGCGGCGGTAGTCACTTAACATCAACTGAACCGAATGCTCGTTTGCATCCTCTCTTTAAAAAAAAAGGCAGACACATAAATTTATAACATTTAACATGGGAGAAAATGAGATAGGAAGCATTATAACTCAATGCTCCCGAAAAGAGCTCGTAAACGCCGCCAAAACAGCGTGCCTTACGCGTTTTGTTCAACAAGGTACCTACCTCAGGTGTCGTGTGCCTATGGAATAAACAACCAGTAAATAACGGCCAAACCTCAACTTCGTAAGAGGTAAAATTGATATAAATTTTTGTGTAAATAGTGAGTACTGAGAGAGTAATGAGTAATGCTTCCTATCTCATTTTCTACCACGTTAAATCTTATGAATTTATGTGTCTGTTTCTATTTACAGTCGCTTTTTCGTTTCATAGACTATCAAATCACAACGATGCTAAAGAAATTTTCACTTCAAAAACATTCATTAAAATTTTATGATTTCATAAAGTAAGGCCATTTAGAGCAGTGATGCACAGACTTATTAAGACTAGGGGCCACTCGGGCAAATTATGAACTGATGGCGGGCCGGCAGAAGTATAGGTAATTATGAACTGATGGCGGGCCGCCAGAAGTATAGGTAATTATGAACTGATGGCGGGCCGCCAGAAGTATAGGTAATTATGAACTGATGGCGGGCCGCCAGAAGTATAGGTAATTATGATCTGATGGCGGGCCGCCAGAAGTATAGGTAATTATGATCTGATGGCGGGCCGCCAGAAGTATAGGTAATTATGAACTGATGGCGGGCCGCCAGAAGTATAGGTAATTATGAACTGATGGCGGGCCGCCAGAAGTATAGGTAATTATGAACTTATGGCGGGCCGCCAGAAGTATAGGTAATTATGAACTGATGGCGGGCCGCCAGAAGTATAGGTAATTATGAACTGATGGCGGGCCGCCAGAAGTATAGGTAATTATGAACTGATGTCGGGCCGCCAGAAGTATAGGTAATTATGAACTGATGGCGGGCCGCCAGAAGTATAGGTAATTATGAACTGATGGCGGGCCGCCAGAAGTATAGGTAATTATAAACTGATGGCGGGCCGCCAGAAGTATAGGTAATTATGAACTGATGGCGGGCCGCCAGAAGTATAGGTAATTATGAACTGATGGCGGGCCGCCAGAAGTATAGGTAATTATGAACTGATGGCGGGCCGCCAGAAGTATAGGTAATTATGATCTGATGGCGGGCCGCCAGAAGTATAGGTAATTATGATCTGATGGCGGGCCGCCAGAAGTATAGGTAATTATGAACTGATGGCGGGCCGCCAGAAGTATAGGTAATTATGAACTGATGGCGGGCCGCCAGAAGTATAGGTAATTATAAACTGATGGCGGGCCGCCAGAAGTATAGGTAATTATGAACTGATGGCGGGCCGCCAGAAGTATAGGTAATTATGAACTTATGGCGGGCCGCCAGAAGTATAGGTAATTATGAACTGATGGCGGGCCGCCAGAAGTATAGGTAAATATGAACTGATGGCGGGCCGCCAGAAGTATAGGTAATTATGAACTGATGGCGGGCGGCCAGAAGCATAGGTAATTATGAACAGATGACGGGCCGCCAGAAGTATAGGTAATTATAAACTGATGGCGGGCCGCCAGAAGTATAGGTAATTATGAACTGATGGCGGGCCGCCAGAAGTATAGGTAATTATGAACTGATGGCGGGCTGCCAGAAGTATAGGTAATTATGAACTGATGGCGAGCCGCCAGAAGTAGAAGTAATTATGAACTGATGGCGGGCCGCCAGAAGTAGAAGTAATTATGAACTGATGGCGGGCCGCCAGAAGTAGAAGTAATTATGAACTGATGGCGGGCCGTCAGAAGTAGAAGTAATTATGAACTGATGGCGGGCCGCCAGAAGTAGAGGTAATTATGAACTGATGGCGGGCCGCCGGAAGTAGAGGTAATTAAAGACAATAAGGAATTGATAATAATGTATTAAAATTGAAAAAGCGTGGCACTGCATAGTGCTTACAATCTTTTTTATATTTGGCTCAAATTTACTTGTAACAACACGTAAAACTGCTTCCAAACTTTCATTTGCAAGGCGGTTTCGATTTTTTGTTTTATTATTATTTAGTATTGAAAAGGTTTGTTTACATATATAGGTAGAACCAAATAAGCTGGCATATTTCAGAGCGTTTATGCGCAACTCTTTGTGCGCATTTTTATCAATTGCAGCGGTAAAAGTTCAGCAAGTCTCCTTCGTTGAATTTGTTGCGTAAATCTTGG